TATATATATGAATATATATATATATTCATATTCCTGCCTCAGGCCAGAAGCTCATTTTTTGCCCAAACACTCACTGCAAAGCCTGCTGCTCAGTGGTGGAGATGGGGGAAGGTATGTGCTTCTGAGGTCTGTAGCAATGGAGCCCAGAAGGAGCGAGGCAGCCCCCCTGAGCCTTCCCCTTTCTTTCTCAGAGACTGGCTGTGGCCTACAGGGCTGCAGATATGAAAAGTGAGAAAGTGAAAGTTTTTGGTTGTTGACTGGGTTGAGCAGGCTCACCCATGAAAGGCATGTGGTGTGGGAAAAGACTGTGGGCAAGTTATTGACCATCTTAGAGTCTCAGTCTTCTCCACTATGAACTGTGATTAGTAATAGCTTTCCTGGCTGAGCTGTTGGGAAAGACAAATGAACTATTGTGTGTAAATCATCTGGCACTGAGTCTGCCAGGTAGTTAGTTGTTCAGTCTTCACGATTACTTTCCTGTTTTCTCGAGTCTTGCCCAAGTCTCATTCTGACCTTGTCACAAAGCTCTTCCTCCTGTCACTAAGCAGGTGGTGATAGTTTTTCCCAAACAAGGGGCCTATAAACCCCTTGCCTTCCATCCACAGCTTTTGGAACGCACAGGCTCCTGCCTGGGTTCTGCCTCACTGGGCCACTTTGCCTCAGCCACTCTGAGTGCATTTCTTGGAAATTTTATCCTTTATTCAGATAGGCTCCACCTGGGGTTTTCCTCTGGATTTTTACAATCACAGCCTTCTTTGAAAGGATCTATGTGTGTGTGTGTTTTTTTTATTGCAACATATGAGATTACCTACCCAGAGCACAGGATAATTCACTCATATTTCACTTAATTTTCCAGGGACCTCTTATTCTTTATATTTTGCAGTCAAAATAAAAGATAGGCTAAACTGAAAGTGCTGATATCAAAATATTTGAATTGTATTTCCCAAACCCAGCATTCTAGCCACTAGGATTACTTCATTTTTACCTCATATCTCTACTATCATCTAGCATTTTTTTCTTAATTAAAATTTGTTTAAAATCAAATCTTTAAACTAACAACGAAAAATGTAGAAAACAGCATCCTTTGCCATAAAAGAAAAAAAAGATGAGTAAAAATAACACATCACATTGGGTTTGGAAATCACAGAGACCTGTATTCATATACTGGCTCTACTACTATTTCTTAGTGTTCCTAGAGAAGTTGACATCTCTGAGACTTGGACTCCTCCTAGAAGACACGCTGTAATAAGAAGCTCACAGGCTTGCCTTGAGGATTAAATAGTATGACATAGATGTGAGACCTCGCATAAATCCTGAAACACAATAAGTTCTTTTTCTTTTAAATTGTTGTTTTCTTGTTCCCCTTTTCCATTTAATTTCTCTCGTCTACTCTAGTTCCTGCTTAGAGCAGCTTTCTCCTATGCTGCAACAGAAGTTAAAGGAAGTGGCGGGGGACACGTGTGAGGTAGGCAGCAGAAATAAGGGACGATATGGTGTCAGGGAGTTCTCTGACTCTGTGACTTAGAGTTGCTTGGCTATAAGGCATTTCAGAAGCCATCATCCCCGCCTCTCTGCAAGGACCTCTCAATGTCATCCCTGCTAAATGCATGTCTAGTCTTTGCTCTCTCACCTGACATACTGAAAAGGTTAAAAAGTTAGAAAAACGTTTAAAAAATCATTACAAAGCTACCACTCCTTAATTCCCAGTGGCACAAGTGCCATGTAGTTGGTTCTGTCTTGTTTTCTAGGATTATCAGAATATATTCTTGTACCCTTTCATATATAATTGTCCAAATACTTGAAAGCAGATATCATAAACTTCCCCTCACCTAGATATTGTTGGTGTCTGAGACTGTGCCTCCCGGATGTGGTCTCTAGAATCCTAACCCATGGTGGCTCTCCCACCATCACCCTTGTTCCTGAAGAAGTTCACCTGCCTCCTAGCAGAGATGGCTGGCAGCGACAGCATGGAGCATGAGGCACAGAGATCACTAGTGAGTCAGAGATCACATCCACCTTATAACACTTACAGGAGGTTGATGGACCATGATTTTTTTTCCCCGCACAAGTCAGCTCGCTGCCCCCATACACTGTCTTGTTTGTGTCAGTGTTTAGGGTCACCAGCATTCAGCCAATCATCAGAAGGCCTCTTCCCCATCTATGTCATCAAAGCCAAGGACTGGACAGAGTGCAGTGGTGATGAAAAGGAGATTGCGCAGAATAAAAATCAGGTCCTTGTGCTTGGTGAGGAGGAAGTTGCTGGTAACCTCAAAAAGCTGCTTTCTGTGTTGGCCTGCTTCCTCCACTGCCTCATCCCCAGATGTCCTCAGGCCCAGGCTGCAAGGAAAACAGCAGGAAGGGGAGAAGCCACAGTGGCTGCAAGGAGGTAGAAGGCGGATATCTTCCTGACCACCCAACTGCTGCCCAAGAGATAGTTCTCTGGGGACCACATATTCAGGATCTACTGTGTGTGACAAAGCCAGAGACCTGCAAGCAATTAGCAACATCCAAATAATTAGCCAAAATTTCCCACTTCAGCCATGTTTGTTGCTGTGCATATGTGACTTCTTGTGGCCTGAGAGTATTCGAGATCATGGTAGAAATGATGGTTCCAATATAGGATAAAGTCATTTCCAGAAATAATGGCATTATTATTATTGGTATTTTTATTATTGTTGGTACCAGGGATCGAACTTGGAATCTTGCACTTGCGAGGCAGGCACCGGAACCACTGAGCTAAATCCCTGGCCCTAACTGACACCATTATTTAGTGAAATGTTCATTAGCGTTTGTTTCCTAAACTTTCTTAACACAGAAATTAGGAGGATGGGTTCAGGAGAGAGTCAAAGTTTAAGGCTCCTCTTGAAATTTGTGAAAGCTCATGGAAGTAATGATACAAGGGTTCTGTATTTTTAACTCTTCCTCTTTCGAGATGTAAGAGGAAGGGAGGGCAGCAGAGAAGATTTTGGATCCTGTGAGCAATGGAAATCCAAGTTCCCCTCCCTCAGGTCTCTTGAAAAGTGACAGATCACTCCAGGGAGTCAGTGCCTACAGCTTAGGAGGCCAGTCACACTCCCCACCATGACACAGGGATAGGGAGCTGCCAGACTTCACAGGGTCTCAGATAGAGAGAGAACCACGAGCAATAAGCACAGACTAGGGAATTGAAGACCTTGTATCATTTCTCAGGCACCAGGCAAACTTGAATTCTTGCTGGGCTGCAGAAGAGGAAGGGAACATCCTGCATGAACAAGGTGAAGTCTTCTGTCCAACTGGCAGAATGGAGGCTCACGGATGGGATCTGGTTGAGGAAATAAGGAAAGTGATGACCTCTCATGTACCTGGATGCAGGGACAGAATTCCTACCATCGGCAGAGTATAATCCAGGCTAGAAGAACAGGATGTTACTATAAACAGAATTCCTGAACTATTCTCAACTTAGAAGTGATGCAGCTCAGGGCTGAGTCTTTCTCTGATCCTCAGGCTTGCTATGCAAGCTTGACTAAAGTAGCCATCCACAGTCCCTAAGACTTGACTCTTCCCATTTAATAAAATATACCACATGAATGCAAGCTGTAACGATAGGGGAAAATGTATGCTGGGTAGAGGGTTGATGGGAATTGCTGATAGATTTCTTAGATCTAAATCTGTTCTAAATATAAACACTGTTAATTTTTTTAAAAAAACACACATACTAACCACATACATTGATTCCTGGTAAAGCAACGAAATTAATGATGTGACATTTTAGAGGGCTCCTAGACTCATGGGGAAAAAATAGCATCAGTTTCACAGTCCAAAGGTTCACTTCCCCATGTTGCCCATTGGTAATCAAATGCCATACATATAACGTTGTTGGGAAAAATCTCTATTTTTATATTTCTGCCCTGTTTTGACATTTTATGCATATTTCTAATACAGAGCTATAGATTTTTATGTTAACTTCTTAGGTAAATTAAAGAAAAGCCCCATTGATTTCTAAGGGCCAGATCAACTTTTTTAAAAAGGGCTTTCAGTTCCATTTTTCTGGAGGAACATTCTTAGAAATGAAGTGGGTTTCTTTTTTCTTTGAGGGGGGCTATGATCTTATCCTACCCCGAGAGCAAATTTTATATCATTGAGCATTAGAGACTGAATACATTTCTTTCCCCAAATTTTGCAGCTTAGCATTTATGTCATGCAAGTCAAACACCCAGATAACAAGGGGCACTCACTCTCACAACTTCTCACACACCCTACTCTGGTCCTAGGTTATTTTTTTCTGTCTCTCAAGCTACCCTAGGGTATCTTCTTTTATTCACTTTCTCATGATGCAAATTCACACCTATCATTCATGCATGTTAAGAAAGAGGCAACATGTATTATTTCTTAACCTGTATTCTGTCCATTTTTGAACCTAGAACCTGAGACACAGAGAGGCACTTTTTTCTAGCTGTCTTCAAGGGAAAAGTCAGAAAAGTTAGGGACACCAACAGGTATTTGCAGGATTCTGTCAAGTGAATGCCAAGACTGTCTATGCTTTTTTTGCAATATTACATGGCGGCTTA